TAGTATAACAGTTTCTAGTTCCATCCAAGTAAATAAAGTTTTAAGAAATAATTTTCTCAATAGAGAAAACACTTCAGGATGTTGGCATAGATAAGGATTCTGAATGGCACTCCAATCATTTAGGAAAATATCCCAAGAACTGGCAAGTAAGATTTCAAGAAATTAAATGTTTCTGCACAGCTTCTGAGATTGTGTTAACTCACTTAGTATAACAGTTTCTAGTTCCATCCAAGTAAATAAAGTTTTAAGAAATAATTTTCTCAATAGAGAAAACACTTCAGGATGTTGGCATAGATAAGGATTCTGAATGGCACTCCAATCATTGAGGAAAATATCCCAAGAACTGGCAAGTAAGATTTCAAGAAATTAAATGTTTCTGCACAGCAAAGGAAACAATTAAAACAGCCGCCTTCAAGATGGGGAGTCATTACTAGCTGCGATGTGACAGAGGATTAATATGTAGAGTAAACAAAGAATGCAAAAACTAAATAGCAAGAAATCAGACAACCTAGTAAATAAATGAGCTAATGAACTGACGAACAAATTACAAAAATGAAATACAAATATCCAGTAAACACATGAAAAAATGTTCAACCTCAGAGAAATGCAAATTAAATCCAGACTGACATTCCATCTCGCCCCAGTCAGAAAACAAATAGTAACGAATGGATGGGGATGTGGATAAAAGGGACCCTTGTACACTGCTGATGGGAGTGTAGACTAGTCCAGCCTCTAACAACATCTGTACATTCCTCAAAACACTGAAAACAGATCTCCCATATGACCTCATGATACCACTTCTTGGTATTTATTCGAAGGGCTCCAAGTGAAAATACCCAAAATACCACCAAGGTACTTGCACATCAGTGTTTACTGCAGCACTATTTACAACAGCTAAGTTATGGAACCAACCTAGGTATCCAGCAACAGAGGCATGGGTAAAGAATATATGAGTTATTACACACACACACACACACACACACACACACACACACACACAGTGGAATTTTTAGCCATAAAGAAGGTCAAAGTTCAAAGTTGTGTTGTTTGAAGGAAGGTGGATGAAACTGGAGGTAATCTTATGAAACTAATTAAATTAATCTCAGCAGATAAGTACTATATAGTTTTTTCTCTCTGGCTCCTGGACTTTATATCCATACATACAATCATATGTATGTGCATAAGACATGAAAGTAGAAGTCAAACTGTCCCAGCGGACATGTCTAACCTGTGGCTTGTGGACTGCATAGCCAAGGATAGCTATGAATGTGACCCAACACAAAATCATGGTAGAAAGGTTGGACATGCCTGTTGGGGGAGCAAAGGACCTAACAGGAGGAGAAAGAGGAGAGATTAGCGTGGTGTGGGGAACATGCACAAAGTATGGCATACACTTACATGAAAATGTCTGTAATCCACTGTCATGTATAATGAAAATTATAACAAATATATTTTTTCTTACAGCCATGAACAATATCAATACGTCTATATTTTATTTCTGAATCCAGCCCACTTTCAAAAATAAAATTGCATGAAACAGGAAAGTCTACAGACACTTCTTCCTTTAATACCATGTAACCATGCACTAAATGTAACGTGCTCATTTATTTCACCAGCAGATCAGCCTTACCTCTAAATTGTCATATATGAGCAAACATGTCTGTTATTGCACCTTCAATGCAAAAGTTTCAGAACTTCACTGAGATCTTGCAGCTCCCGTATTGCAGGTCTTCTGCTTAGGCACAGTGTCAATCATATGGCCTAGGACACAACTGTTGTAAAACTTAGTTGTGAGTAAGAACACATTGTTTTTAATTCATACAATGCCTGTTATTCTCCTAAACCAACAGGTGAGACATGCTGTCCAGACGGGCAGCACAGTCAGGTATCAGTCGGCTTTGGTCATGCGTACTATGGCAGAGTGCCTTACTCCACCTCTGGGAGCCAGGCATGCTGTGCTGGGGAGCTCCAGGACAGCTATAGCCAGAAGTGCTGTGGAGGACAGATCATGAACCAGGATTTGGAGTGCTGCGGTGGAAGAGAGGAGGGTGTGGTGTATAGTCATCTCCCAGGTGAGAGGTCATCTGCCCTGTAAGATATGGAGGACTGAGAGGCAGAGAGGAGGAGAAATTTGCCCTAGAAATAAAACAAGTACATAGTTAAGACTCGCTCTAATTACATTAATGAAGCAATTAAGAACATACTGCATAACAGATAAAATCTTCATGCTCTCAGTGCTTCTGTCCACTTCCTAGAGACACATCAGAATTCTTTCTTTGGGGCTGGGGAGACAGCTCAGGGCTTAATGCTGCGTACTGCTCTTGCAAGACTCAAGTTCAGTGCCCAACACACACATCAGACAGCTCACAACCGCCTGCAACTTCAGCTCCAGGGGGATCCAGTGCTGTCTTCTGGCCTCCACTGGCACCTGATATGCACATACACTTAACTAAAAACATCAATCTTTTAAAAAAATCTTTCTTTTTTTAGAATTTCATACATTCATACTGTATTTTTATTATTTCTACTCTTCCTACATCCCCCTCCCTAATTCCCTCTCAGTTTCATGACTGCTTCTTTGATTATTACTGTTGCACATATATATGTTTACATACACACACAACCTCTGCTAAGTACATTTAGTGGTGCTGGTATGTATGCTTAGGACTGACTTCTTGGGATTAGATAACCTGACAGGGAAAACTGGTTCTCCCTGCAGCAGCCTCTGTTTGCCTGTAGCTCTTCATCTAGAGGTGGGACCCTGTGAAATTCACCCCAGCCATGTTGGCGTGTCAACTGCTGCTATCTTTATGCAGGTCTTGTTAGGCACTTTCCTGAGTGTAGCTTCCCTGTCTGTCTCTAGAACACTCTCTAGCGGCAGGTGCCCCGCTCCTCTGACTCTTGCCTTCTTTCCTCCCTGTCTTCTGTGATGCTGCCTGAGTCCTGTGCTCAGGGGTTGTATTGTAGATGTATCAACTGGGGTTGGGCTCACCACAGCCACTTGTCAGCATTTGACCAGTGGTGGTACACCGTAATAGTCTCCATCTGTTGTTACAAAAGAAGCTTTTTTGATAAGTGGTGAGAGCTACACTTACCTGTGGGTATAATTATAACAGATGTTATCAAGGGGGAAATGGGGAAAATGGAGGGGCTTAAACAGAGCCATGTGTGAGGAAGGAGAGATACATGGTATGAAGGACATTTGAAGAAGCCATAAGAAAACGTTATTTTATAAACTTACTTAAAAATACATTTAATGTGCCGGGCGTGGTGGTGCACGCCTTTAATCCCAGCACTTGGGAGGCAGAGGCAGGCGGATCTCTGTGAGTTCAAGACCAGCCTGGTCTACATAATGAGTTCCAGGACAGCTGGAGCTACAGGTCTCAAAAAGACCAAAAAAAAAAAAAAATACATTTAATGTGTGTGTGTCTGTCTGTCTGTGTGTGTATGAGTGTGTGTGTGTGTGTGTATGCACATATGTATAACTAAAGGGTATGTAATAAAAATCACAGCACCAGAGAAGGGAAACCTCCCATTGAGTTCTTGGTCAGGGTATTCCAAGAGACTCACAAAACAACACTGGCTCCTGCCATAGCCCTGGGTTGTTTCCCAGAACTTGAAGGAAAGACCCTATTGTTGAAGGCAAGGCATGCTTAGGACTCAGAACTTGGAGCAGCTGAGCTGAAACTGACCTGGAAGCCTCCTTCCTGAGGACTAGCTCCCATAATGTCAGAAGATACTATGCAAACTCCCAAGAGAGAAAATCAGTCAATGATCCCATCCAGCTATAAAGTCAACAAACCACAACAATGACCAGCACAACAAATAATGTCTCTTGGTGCAGTAGTGGCCCTTTTGTCTTGGGAGCTCCCAGCAGCCTTCTACTGGGACTCAAGTCCCTCAAATAGGAGGGAACTCATGTGTGGGACTGTAAACACTGACAAATACCCATGACTGGAGAGGCCGTAGACCCAAGAGAACTTACTGCTCTCACTGCCCTAAACAAATGTAATTTCTGACTATATTCTAAAATATTCTTTCTTTGCGAAGAGTAGTATTCTCAGAAAAGAAAACAAAGATACTAAACTTTAAAAAAATAAATGTATTGTTCTGGATTAGAAGCATTATTCCTAATAAATACTAATAGTGAACAAGCTAATTAAAGTGATAACTGAGGCATAAATCTTTCACGTCTATATTTTACACCTACTGAACTAACGCCAATATTAATAGCAAGTGTTGTTGAGTCTGTATTACCACACAGCATATACATTATTGTTGTTCTCAGTGCTGCCAAAATTCATCTTTACAACAGTCACACAAGCAGATGCTGGTTTTATATTCATATTTTAAAGCTTTGGAAAGGCCCTAGATCAGTGGTAAATTGCTGAGTTTGAGTCCCACCACCACAAAATAGTAATAACAACAATAAAAACAATAAAAAAAATTAATTAGGAAATTGAAATATAAGCGTTAGAAACCTGCTGAAGATCGGACAGCCCGTCCCGTCTAGAGTTTGAGAGGCTGAAACATGCAATTGCTGGGTGTGGGGGGGGGGGTTCTATGAAAACAAACAAAATGTAAAATGGACATGTACTTGTAATGAAAAATGAAATGCAAACACAAAAACACTCTAGCAAACCAACCCCACTAACATAATGTGTGTATGTGATTGTATATCTGTTTGTGTGTGTGTAATTATGTGTGTGTGATTATGTGTTTGTATGTATGTGTGTTTATGTATGGTATGTGTGTTTGTATATGTTTGTGTGTATATGGTATATGTGTATTTATGTGTGTGGTTGCATATGTATGTGTGTTTCTGTGTGTATTTGTGTGTGGTGTGTGTTTTATGTGTGTGTGTGACATCTGTGGTGTATTGTATGTGTATGTCTGGTGTGTGTGTGGCATAAGCATATGTGGCGTGTATGTGGTATGTGTCTGTGTGTGTGTGTCTGGTGTGTGTGCAGCATGTGTGTATGTGTGTGTGTGTCTGGGAATGCACCCATGTACACTGCTGCAGAAGACTGAGGACATCTGGTGCCAGCCGTACGGCTCTCTGGTCTCACTGAACCTGGAGCTTATGGCAGGCAACAGTCTTCGCTCTTCCTGTCTCTACTCCCATCCTGCCCACCTCTCCCCACAGTGGGTTACAGGTATGTGTACAGCCATGGCCACCTTTTTATGTGGGTTCTGGGGATTTGAACTGAGGTCCTCATGCTTGTGCAGAAAGTGCTGTTACCCACTGACATCTCCCCAGTCCTCAACATAAGGTTTCAAATATTTGCATACCATAATCCTTGCGCCCCTCATTCTGCTTAGCACACACTCCTGATCACCTGTCCAGATGATCCTGGCTTTTAACTGTGTTTTTACTGACTGTAATTCAGTCTTGCCTCCCCGAAGGTTGATCATAATTGCTTGGAAAAGTGGCTCTAAGTATCACAACTCATTACTGTGATGCTATGTAAATATTTAGGTTTATCATGAGATTTGGGGAAATCTCCAGGGGGGATCTCTCTAGAATTTCAGAGTATTTAAATTTTTCTTCCCTGGAAATGGTTTGCAGTGACTTGTCCTAAATACCTGTTAAGCTGACTTTATTAACCTGTCTTTCACAGGCAGTCTTTCAGCATGAGCTGTACTTCTTTCAGGTTGATTTGTAAGTTATCTTTGATGTCACCATCCCACCTGCGAATGGGCGAGCACCCTCCTCATCAGATTATCAAACTGCCGCACATCGACTCCATTCTAAATCCAGCTTTTTCTCTTAGCAGATTATTACTTTGGGCATCATCTGAAATCCATTCTATTACAATTCTTTTGATAATCGGATTAATTTAGATTAAATACATGTTTTGGTACATATACACATGTTACATGCACACATACATACATGTGGAGGCCAGGGGACAGCTATAGATGTCCTTCCTCATGTGCTGGACACCTGCGTCTTGAGACAGGGTCTCTCACTGGCCTGGAGCTCTCTATAGGCTAGACTAGCAGGCAGCAAGCCCCAGGGGTCAGCCTGTCCCTGCTACCTTACTCCTGGAATTACCAGTGTGTGCCCACCCTCGGGGGGTCAAATTCAGGTCTTGTGCTTGCAAGGCAAGGTCTTTATCAATTAAGCTATCTCCTCAGAACATTTTTATAATGTTCATATATTAATTTTTTATTTTTCTTTTAGGTCTTTCCATTATTGGATCTGATTCGGGGGTGGGGGGGAATGAATCTTTTTTTTTTTTTAACCTTCTATATCTTTCCAGTGCAGTTACAGTGCGTATTCCAGCCTTAGCAACTTTTTGTGGGAATAATTGAAAGCCTGTAAATATAGCTACTGAACCTAAATTAAATGTTCATTAGCGGCAACTTCCACTGTTACCTTGGTTGGTTTTATTATGAAAGTCTTCTTAATAGTTTTCATCAGAAATTTACATAAAAGACAAATGCTATTTCAAAAGCGTGGTATTGATCCGTCTATAATAAGAATTGACTTAAATATTTGCTACTTGTGATGTGGATTGCTGCTTGACGGGTTTGAAAAGAACAGACATTGTGGGAAGGCCATGGAGAGCCCAGAGTCCATGTCCACCCTCAGGGGGCGCTGAAGCTCCAGCGTTTTGCACCTGCAGGGTGAGTCTCTGACCTGATGAGGCCTCAGCTTCTTGTCCTTTGCTTGGATGAGCCCCTTCGAAGACAGACAAGGTTATGGATTTTTATTACATTCACAGAAGTGTAATAGTTGATGATAGGATGACCACCATGTCTCAGCCTTTGAACTTGCTGTCTCTGATATACACTCCATTTGGGGTAAACGTAGAGTGACCAGGGGAAACTTTGAACTCTTTGTAAGTAGAAAGTCAAAATAAGTGGCATCTAAGTACACTTGGGATCTGTGCCTATTGAGGCAGTCAAGAGAGAACATGGAATAACATCCATGAAAGTGTTTTATTGACCCATTCTAGAAATAACAAGACTTTCACTGGACATTCTACTTACTAGAACTTAACTGTCTGTCAGAACTTAAATACACAGAACACTGAGAGATTTGCCCATGAATCCTTTGCCACTG